TCCTCATCTCGCCAAGCTCGATCCCAGGGGGCTGAAGGTCGTCTTCATCGGCTACGAACCCGGGAGCAAGGCGTACAGACTCTATGATCCTGTGGGGGGGCGAGCTCACGTGTCTCGCGACGTCGTCTTCGACGAAAGCACCTTCTGGCAGTGGAATGACGTGATCGAGACAGACCGTAATCCAAATCAATTCACGGTGGAGTACCTCGTCACCGAGCCTGAAGAAGGAGGAGCCCAGCATCAGGAGACGTCACCGCCGCCAGCAGGTGCACCACCTGAACCAGTGGAATTCGCAACACCACGGACTGCGGATTCGACGCTGGATGCCGATCACGATACTGATCTGGAGGCTAGGTACCGGAGGATGGATGACCTAGTGGGAGGAGGTGAACCACCTGGACTAGCAGCGCGCGAGCTCGAGGAAGTGGCCGAACTACATGCCGTCAGTGCAGATGAACCAAACACCTTCGCCGAAGCAGAAAAGAACCCGTGCTGGCGGAAGGCAATGCAGGAGGAGATGACATCCATCACTGAGAACCAGACGTGGAGTCTGGAGGATATGCCACCGGGACACCGAGCCATAGGGCTCAAATGGATCTTCAAACTGAAGCGCAACGAAAAAGGAGAAGTTGTGAAGCACAAGGCTCGTCTGGTGGCGAAGGGCTACGTCCAGAAGCAAGGAGTGGATTTCGAAGAGGTATTTGCGCCAGTAGCAAGGTTAGAATCCGTTCGTTTCCTGCTGGCAATTGCAGCACATCACTCTTGGGAGGTTCACCATATGGACGTAAAGTCTGCTTTCCTTAACGGAGAGTTGAAGGAGACCGTCTATGTTCGACAACCACCTGGCTTCCTGGATAACGACAACCCTAATAAGGTACTGCGCCTGCACAAAGCACTCTACGGGCTTCGACAAGCCCCACGAGCCTGGAACGCGAAGCTCGACAGTACCCTACTGTCACTGAATTTCAAACGTTGTGCCTCTGAGCATGGCATGTACACGTACGGCCACGGCAAAAAGCGACTGATCGTGGGAGTGTACGTCGACGACCTCATAATCACTGGAGGCGACGTGGGAGTCCTCGGAAGGTTCAAGAAGGAGATGTCGAAAAACTTCGAGATGAGCGATCTCGGTGTGCTCAGCTACTACCTCGGCATCGAAGTGCAACAGAACTCTTCCGGCATCTCCATCTGCCAAAGTGCATACGCGAGAAAGCTGCTGGACACAACTGGGCTTGTGGACAGTAATCCTACCAGGACGCCAATGGAGGCCCGACTTCAACTAAGGAAGGCCGGCACTACGACGACAGTCGACTCCACCAATTACCGCAGCATTGTCGGGAGTCTGCGCTATCTGGTAAACTCTCGTCCTGATCTTGCTTATTCTGTTGGATATGTGAGCAGGTTTATGGAAGCACCTAGGGAGGAGCATCTAGTGGCTGTCAAGCGCATCCTGCGCTATGTAGCCGGAACCAGAGGCTGGGGCGTAAGATACTGCGCTGGGAGCGAAAAGGAGAAACTCAAACTGGTCGGCTACAGCGATAGTGACATGGCCGGTGACGTTGATGATCGTAAGAGCACCAGCGGAATGATCTACTTTCTCTCAGGCGGCGCGATCTGCTGGCAATCAACAAAACAGAAGGTAGTTGCTTTGTCTTCCTGCGAAGCAGAATACATCGCCGCTTCGATGGCAGCAACTCAAGGGATCTGGCTTGCACGACTAATGGAAGAACTCATCGGGAGAGAAAGCGATTCACCAATGCTATACGTAGACAACAAAGCTACGATCTCCCTGATCAAAAATCCAGTTTTGCACGACCGGAGCAAGCACATAGAAACCAGATTCCACTACATTCGAGAATGTGCAGATCGAGGGCTCATCAAAATTGATTTCATCCGAACAGAGGAACAACTTGGAGACATTTTCACCAAATCCCTGGCGCGGGTGAAATTTGAAGAACTACGCTCAAAGATCGGAGTTCAAATAATAAGGTACAGCTTTTAGGAGGAGATTGTTAAATAAAAGCTCTGCCTTATTTAGTTAGGTTTGTCAAAACATATGAGTTCACGCGAATGGAGGAGCGTGATTCTAGGGGCCATTGTTTTGGCAGAGTGGCGGAGTCTTCGTCCACTTATTCTATTTTTGTATATTTAGTTTTTCTATTTTTGTAATTAGATTTATTATTTAAACCATTCAACGGATGTAAAATAAAGATATCGAGTCTTCAACATTACCAGCGAATCTCTCTCTCTCTCTCCTTTTACTTCCGCTAATTTTTCCTTCGAAGAAACCTTCGGCCAATTTTTTCGTCGACATCCGATTTGCCAGAGTCAACAGTTTCTACACCCTTGTAAAGAATGCTTCGTCCCCTCTCCAACCAATGTAGGATCTAACAATAAAATTAAAAAAAAAAAAAATTAAGGTAGCAAAGAGGGGATCGAAACATACCTTATAAGGGTGTGGAAAATCTATCCCTAGTAGACTAAGGGGGTGGAAAATCTATCCCTAGTAGACACGTTTTAAAACCTTGAGGAAAAGTCCGAAAGGAAAAGCTCAAAGAGGCATATCTGCTAATGATAGGCTTGGGCTGTTATATTTACCCTCCTTATAGAATTCCTTACAAAATTTATTTGATCTTTCCCTCAGGAGGTCTCGGTCTCTGATTTATGGAAGGAGGTATGTTAGGATATATATATATATATATCTCGTGGTAGCCTGCTCCAGAAACTTTCGTTATTGGGTTAGCCATAGACTTCACATATTTCTAGTAGGGGTGTACATTCAACCCGGCAACTCGATAACCCGGACGAACCCAACCCAAACTATAAGGGTTGGGTTGGGCTAGATTAGTATTTCGGGTAGAGTTGGGTTCATTTTTCTGAACCCGAACTGAATCGGTTCGATTTCGGGTTCATGGGTAAAAGTTTTGGGTTGACCCGAGTCAAATAAAAATATCTAGAATGTATTAAGAATACATTCGTATTAATGGATTTGCCTGGTATTGAGTCCAATCCAAGAAGATTTACATCCGAGTTCGACTCCTGTTTCTGTTATTATTTTTAATTTCTTTTTCTTTTTTACATTTTGTTTAATTTTTTAATATTATTTTGTTATTTTATTATTTTTAATTTCTTAGTTTCTTTTATATATATATTTTATAAATACCTTAATATTTCGTACTATTTTTTTTTACGTTAACCAATTCTAAAAAAATGTCGGTATTTAATTGTCTTTAATTTTATCACAATGTTGAATTATGTTAAATTTTCGCTCGTTGTGTTTTTTTAATTTATATATATATATATTTGTCAATAATTAGAGATGAATTTGTGTTTGTTTGGGAACTTTTAATATATTTTAGGTAGGATTGGATAAATAAAATTAAAAAAAAAACTTGACAACCCAACCCGGACCCAACCCGAACCCAACCCGAAAATAGAGGGTTGGGTTGGGTTGGGTTGTGGAAAGTTTCGGGTTGGGTTGGGTTGGGTTACCCATCCAACCAACCCGAACTTTTGGGTTGGGTCAAAAAAATCTTCCAACCCGACCCAACCCGGACCATGTACACCCCTAATTTCTAGCGATTCACATGGCATCATCAAATGATACAAGTCTTGGATAAAAATCTACAACGCACTAGGATGCCCTTGTTGACGATCCTTTACTCTGATAGCATCTTGGGTTCCTCGAATAATGTGATATCTCACACCGGGGAAATCCTTAACCCTTCCCCCTCTTACTAAGACTACAGCATGTTTTGTAAATTATGGCCAAAGCGTTAAAAGCCCTTAATTAAAGAGGCCTTTAGTCAATCTGGAGTGTTCCCTAGCTTGATTCTTTCTTTACTTTCGTTGCTCAGTGCATCCCCACCCCTTACAAACTTTCAGTCTAACTATTGAGATCTCTTGCTCAGTGCAGGTACATAAGCAGTGATTTCAAATCCCGAGGTTAAGCATACTCTGGCAACTTTACGTAAGGCAGAGTTTGGTTTTTTGGGGGTGATAGTGGAAAAGTGACAATTTCACTCATGATTGAAATTTACAAAAGGGATGTAATATCTATAAGAAGTAAAAATATTAGACAGCTTACACCAAGATATAGCTTAGTAAACAACATTATCAAAGAGTTTTGTATAAGTCCGGGTCTTTTTCGCAAAAATTCTTTGATTTCTTTCTTTCCACATATTCCAAAAGAAAGCCATGGTGAAGTTTTTCCATAGTAGGGCTTTTGCATTCTTGAATGGATGGTACGTTAAGGCTATGTCCAATGAACCTTTTATCTCCCTAAGAAATGTGAGATGCCCTAAGAAATCCGGATGTCAGGATATTAATCTCCATAGGAATCTCATCGAGGTGGAGATCCTTGAATGGGTTGCTCTTTCTCATTTGTTGTCTAATAATCAACAACAGTTGGATGATATATGTAATTGGAAGCTTGAGAATACCTAGGGGTGGGAGACAACTCTCTCTAAGGAACTCGGCAAAATAGCCCGGTAACTTCGGGAGAAAGGGCCCTGATCATGATTTTCCTACCCCAGAGGAAAAAGTCCTTCCCTTTTTGGCCTCCCTTGCTTTTTATCTCTTACACTCGAGGGCCGTCCTTCCAAAGGAAGGCAGAGACTCTTATGGTTGCACGTTATCAGAGCTATCTTATGGTCCATCAGGATTGAGTCACATCATCAACGAAAAAACACAACATTTTCTTACAACATGTTATTTTCATTGCTATCTCTTGGTATAAATTGTTTAAGTACTTCTCTTCATATTGTTTTGATTCTCTCTTTTCTTAGTTTGATCGACTTCTCAAAGAAACTATCAAAACCATCTTTGACTGAGAGTTATCGATTAAACCTCTCTATCAAAAGGAAATAAGGTTAACTTAGACACCCAGATGACATCCCACCTCCAATTGGGCTCCTCCCAAAAGGTAGGACGAGAAAAAACTTAACGACCTTAAATTTTCTACTTAATTTAAGGTCACTAATGTATTCATATCATGAACATTGAATGCGAAAATGCTTAATTTAAACTTTCGTAAAACATCATAACCTTCATCTTAAAATACAACCATGGACACTATTCTAGCCTAAGTCTAAGAAAAATAAATGCGACTACCTTATACATATGTTATGGTCTCAAGTTGCGATACCGTCATCAGTCGTACAAGGACACCTTGCCTATACCTGAAATAGAAGTAGCATGTGGCTTGAGTATTTAAAGATGTTTTCGAACCGTAAGTCCATGACTATGTTTTAAGATGAATGTTATATTTTATGAGAGTTTAAATGAAGTATTCTGCATTCAATATTCATGATATGAATATAGTAACAACCTTAGAATATAGAAAATTAAGGATCGTTACAAAGAAATTTTTGGCCAAGTCAATCTCTCATTGAGATTGTCTCCTCTGCCAAAATCTGTTCATCACATTTTCAACCAAAGGTAGCAACACTTCTAACTCTTTACAATGGTATGATATTGTTCACTTTGAGCATAAGCTCTTATGGCTTTACTTTGGACTTCCCGGACTTCCCAAAAGGCCTCGTACCAACAGATACCAATAGAGATGTATTCCTTACTTATAAATCCATGTTAATTCCCTAAATTAGTCAATGTGGAACTTTCTCCCAACAATTCTCTCCTCGAACAAAGTGCACTATAGAGCCTCCCCTGAGCCCTATAGAGCCCTCAAACAACCTCTCCTTACTCGAGGCTCGACTCCTTTGAAGTCCTCGAACAACGTACACCCCTTATTCTTGTTTGACACTCGAGTCACTTTATGACTACACCTTCGAGGCTCACAACTTCTTTGTTCGACATTTGAGAATTCTATTGACATGGCTAAGTTAGTTAAGTGCATGACTATAATACTATATTAAGAATCACGGATCTTCACAATGATATGATATTGTCCAATTTGAACCTAATGGAGATAGAATTCCTTAGGTATAAACCCATGATCATTCCCTAGATTAGCCCTAAATTAGCGACCGTGGGCACAATCCTCAACAATTTACCACAATCCACCCCATCTCAAATTGAACATTAAACCTTGAAGAATCTTACCGATCCAAGGAGGTGAAAGCAGAGAAGCCAGCAAGCTGCAATACCCCAAATCCTCACAGAGCAGAAACCCTCGCATCACCACCGCACCAAGCACGCACAAGCATTTCATTCGAACAGCTATTCAGAGATCAGGCGCGGCGATTCAGCTTCCGATTGATTCGGGCGACGGCGGCGAACTGATAAATGAAGTGGCCGCAGCAGATTTGGGCGATTTAAAGGATCGTGAATGCATTTTGGGTTCTCTCTGGATGCCGCCGCCAATGGATTTCTTTCTTATTTCACTTTTCCAACTAGTAATTTGTATGCTCTTGGTGTCATGGTTCGAACAAAAATGAAAGCAAAATGGGAATTTCCTTTGCTTATTTTTTATTTTTTAAAATATTGGATAAATAGATAAATTTAAGGGATATTTACGTAAATTCTCAATTTTATAAAAGTTATTGTTCATTTAACTGGTGGTGTCAGAGTGGGTTGGGTTTCACAATAACGCGTAGATTTTCTTCTCAGGGACGGAGTGAAGAGAGATTTATCTAAATAGTTTGATTTACTTGTCCTCATTTATATATGTTATTTGAGTGGTTTTTGTTTGATTGCATTTAGACATGTTTATTCAATTATTAATTTATTAATCGAAAAACACTAATTACTGTTTTTTTTTTTAGTGTTTTTTTTTTTAATTTGAAAATTAAACGTTTATCCTTTAACCAAAATAAGTATAAACAAAAGAATAGAAAAAGAGAGAAGAGAACCAAAGGAGAAGACAGAGTTCCATCTGGTTTGGACCGACCATAAAACCCTGTTCAATAAGTGGAACGCAAAGAACGGATTCGAGACCGACCAATAGAATAGTAGGTACGTACCGAACCCAACTGACATCAAGATCCAAGGGATAGACAGGTAATCCTTTAACCAAAATAAGTATAAACAAAAGAATAGAAAAAGAGAGAAGCGAACCAAAGGAGAAGACAGAGTTCCATCTGGTTCGGACCGACCATAAAACCCTGTTCAATAAGTGGAACGCAAAGAACGGATTCGAGACCGGCCAATAGAATAGTAGGTACGTACCGAACCCAACTGACATCAAGATCCAAGGGATAGACAGGTAATCTCCCAAAGTAGGATTCGAACCTATGACCAATCGGTGGGAACGAGGGAACCTGTGAATACATAATATTCTATGAGAAGAAGGTCAAGCTCCGGAACCGGTAACCCATTTATTCTTGAAATGAATTAGCTGCTTTACCTCTGAGTCAATCCCCAGAGTCTTTATTTAATCCGGGATGTGTGATGTTACCTTAACCGCAAGGAGGGGGATGCCGAAGGCAGGACTAGTGAAGGTCAAGGAAGTTGGTGACCTGATGACAGGGGAGAGTTCAATCAAGTTCATGAGTTTACCTCGTTTACAGTTCGGAGTGGGCCCCTCCATAACATCAGGTGACCTCAAAAGCTTGATGCAAATAAACGAATTTTTGCATAGAAATATGCTACTGATGTGAGTAAAGCTATTTCGTCTTTATAATTTAGACATAGATTAATTTTATATTTTATTTAATATAGTAAATAAAATGATTTTATGAACAAATAATGATTTATAATAAGGTGATTCAACTCCCGTTTCGAATAATATAAGTGAATCAACACTATTATTTCAAGTGGTTTGACAAAAGTTGTTTAGATCAATGATTTGAAGTTGTTTGGAACATATCATGTTCTTGAACTTGTGTCAAGGAAATTTGGGCTTCATTCATTGTTTGTTTTGTGGAGTTGATTCGTTCAATAAGCTCCATAAACAAAGTCATGAGTTCAGAAAATAAGTGGATAAAAAAAATATATATTTTTGTCGTTATCGAAGACGGAATTTTAAGGCAGATTCATTTTCTGTGGTTTCCCTGATCAAACTGGATTTCTCCATAATGTCGATGAACAGTTGGTCGGTCTGCGACCCCTGGATACCGAAGGCGTCCTTGGGGTGATCTCGTAGTTCCTACGAGGGACATGGGGACGTAAAAAAGAGGATCCTATCAACTTGTTCCGACCTAGAAAAAGAATAGAAAGAATAGATTTCGTCTTAGTTAGTTATGATTACTCTGGGGAGGAAGAAGAGTATTTCATTGCTGCAAATATGTCTGATTTAATTAATTGAAAATTTTCAATTAATTAAAAATTAAAATGGAAGGATCCCTCGATCAATCAAGAGAGGTCCAATCGTTCTTAATCATTCATTATTCCATTTGTTGTGTTCGTGAGTTGAGTTAGGTCGGGTTGGGTTGGGTTGGGTTGAGACATTTTTTAGACTTGTAAGAAGTGGGACAATAGGGTGAATTCTAGCATGCTCATTAAACTTTTAGTTTTTAATCCTGCCGTCCGATCTTTCATTTGAAAGAGCAACTTATATTGTTAACCTTGAAAAATAGTTTTCAAACTTTACATGTCATCAATCATCATAATGCTTATTACAAAGTTTCAATGTATTTGGAGGTCATTTAGATCGAGAATCGAAGGTAAGTTACCTTAGGGGCATTCTGGTCATTTACACTATTACTCGGTTTGGCTACCTAACCTTATCTCATGACAACCAAATTTTATAAATAATCTTAACATGCCATAATATCTCAAAATTAAAATTGCATAGGTAACAAAACTCATTTAGTTGGTCATTTTAACGTTACTTAAATTTTGAGAAATTTGATCGGTTTAGGGTCTTAACTCACGGTGCTTGATTTTTTGTTTCATGTTTCCTTAATTCATACTTAGTTTAAGATACTCATAGAAATCCAAGCGACTCCTACGTGTATTTCTTAACAAAAGTTCAAGATAGCTACAAGGATAACATTATAAGAAACCTCCACAGTATTTTTTATTTAAAAAATTTTTTGAAAAAAAAAAAATAATAATAAAGAAATATCATTGAACTACGACGGATCTTTACTGTCATTTTGCTTTAAGTTCAATTGGACCTAAACAGATTGAAACTGGTGCCAAGAATAATTAGTAATTTCGGTCTAGATCAACTAAGTAAGTGCCTCCAATATCGGCTTAGTTAGAAGAATTAATTTATGTATGATGACATGTGCCTCGTGTCCCTTGCACGTGTCATATCGGTTCATATACTACTAGACATTCTGCCAACTACATAGTCGATAAATATTTACCGAACGAAGTGTCCATGACATATGGGACAAAATTTGTTGACAATCACTTGTCTATGGACCCGAATTTTTAAAAGAGTGGTTATGTATGAATGGAAATTTAAATCGACACTATTCCGCCCTGTTGCCATTTTCATACCAATGACTCATTCTCGTGTGAAAGGTATATGCGTTCTCATTTCTATTTTCGATAATAAATTCCGAAGTTGAAACATTAATAAATATTTTGGTAAAAGTAGTTACGCATTTAATAACATTAAAACGCCATAGTCTACAAAGTCTTAATTGGACGAACTAAAAGAAAAGATGAAATACACAAACTATATTTTTAATTGAGTTTTTTCGGTAATATAGCTTTCTCTCATGGGATTACATCCCTAATGAAGCGGAAAATGTGGGAGAGAGTAGAGAGAAAAAAGTAAAAAAGAACTTCGGTTAGCTTTCTCGAAAAAAAAAATTTTATTTTACGGTATGAAACAACATGAAAGAATTTTGTATTTCTGTCTGTTCGTGGAATTTCAATATTTTCAATTTCAATATGAATGTTATTACCCTAGCTTCAGTCCCATGGTCATCATCGCGACGTTGTCATCTATGTAGAGGAGTCTCGCCCTTACCTAAAAAGTAAGAGTAGCACGTAGCTTGAGGAAGAAATACTCTTTAAGTGACCCCATACTTGCATAAAATATCACGTTATCGATAGCATATCTCATAGTAACAATGCATCATAATATAATAAACAAACACATCAATCACAAGATACGACACATGTAAGGGCTATAGGACACACGTCGTTCATACTTTAAACAAGTCATCTAACCAAACCATTAGTGAAGCCACTTATCTGGGTAGCCTACGTTGAAGACACTGTTTAATCTTGAAGCTAGTCCAAACTCATCCCTTGAAATTCTAGTTAACCTATACAAGTTCGCATCACAGTAGAACTCATTAACCGATCATATCCACCTAACATCCTCAATTAAGCCCCTCATTTAGTTTAAAGTGAACAGTGATGTTTTCTTACTCGATCATGATAGAAAGCTTCAAAATAATTATATTGATAATAACTACATTTGGACGGCTAGAGACCAAGTCACGACCCAATTTTTTTTCACTCAAGTCCAAGTAAAACATACTCGAAAATATGAAAGACTAATTAAAAGGATGGTAAAAAATGTAAAAATTACAACTTAAAATATTTAAAAAAGGAAGTGGCACTATATGGCACCTGTTTCAGATCTCCTTCCATCCTCGATCCGATCCCTGTCACTTGAAAAACATGAGGAAATTTGAATGAATACAAAGAATCAGTAAGTAGTCTACTGTAGGCTCTTAATCGTGTTCGTAAGGTATGCTAGGGTACCACACTCTTTATAGTAATGTTTTTGTTCTTGACCTTAGAAATTAGGCCCTTAGGCTATGTTCTTAAGTTCTGAGTTCATGTCATGATCTAGTTTAAGGACGTTGGTTCTGGGTTCCGAATTCTTAACCTTAGTTCTAATATAAAGACATTAGTTCTAAGTTTCTTGGTTCTTAGTTGACCTTAATTCTATGATGGTGTTGCAAGGAAGGATTATGGACTGGTTTCATACCTTTTCGTAGACGGTAACTCAAGATACAAGTCCTGAAAGTTCGCTGGAAAACATAACTCTCGCTCGAGAATAATCCAAACTTTTCTTATTGGTTCGCGTGATCCAGGCCTTATCTCGCCTTGATTCCATCCTCAAATCTCTTAATTTTCTTCCTCTCAAGCTAAATAATCTATTTTTGAAGGACAAATTTGTGTGGATGCTCGTAATTTTGAGTTTACAACTTTTGGTTCTTTACCCATTCTCTGTCTGATTAGGGAGTTTATTGGGTAGAACGATACATGCCTCTTTAGCTTTTAATTTCTTCATGAAAGTTTCTATTGGTATCCATAAATTTGAGCTTAATGAGTGGGTGATGAATTTAGTGTTTTTCCAAAATTCATCCATTTTAAACTCGTTCTTGAAGTCCTTCGATTACCCTCGATCCTAACTTCTTTTGTCTTTGTGGTCATCATGGAAATTCGGTCTCGGCGTCGGAGAAAATGAATGAATCTGCTTTGGAGGAACAAAGTTTTTTTGTAGCCTCCAATTAGAATTTCGAAAATTCCTCCCTTCTTCAATAGTGGAACTTAAATTGAGAAAACATGTTTATGCTACTATCACCTCTCGAATCATGCATGAAACTTGTAAAGGAGCTTATTTAGAAGTTGTAGGAATTGATTTGAGGCTAATTGACGTAACTTCTTGATTATTGAAAACCTTAGGATTCCATATCCATAATATAGAAGCTAGATTCGCATGATTCAACCAATTTCGAGCTTCTATTCTTGTCCTAAATGATCCTTCACACTTCTTTGTTTATAGCTCAAGCATTGTTTGAATAGAATATCCAAAATTGAGCTGATTTTGAATTTAAGTGTCGAGACAATTAGTCGAAAGAATCCTCTCCTTTAACCGCTTGCCAACTTTACCATTGAATTCTGACCATTGGATGTATAGCTCGTCATATCTAATGGTTGTGATTAAATTTTGGGTGAGGCAGACAGTTGAATTTTTCTAAACATTCAATTTTATCTGATTGGTCCATTCTTAAAATTTTCCGATAAAATCCTTGAACTTTAGAGGTATTTTGATAATTTTCCACTCTTATAATACTCCTTTATGTCATCATCTTCCAATTCTGAAAAATCTTTTTAAGTTCCTTTTCCATATGGAGTTTAAATTCCAAGAAGTTTCTTTAAAATGATAAATATGACTCTTTTTCTTTTAACCTTAAAAATCTTGCTAAGAAATTGAAATAGCTCACCTAACTCGGGTTTGGAATTTTCCTAAAAAAATGATTCACCTAACTCGAGTTTGGATTTTTCTATAACAAAAAGATACTCAAAAGTGTGAACCCACGTCAATTTAGTTTGAATTTTAAAAGGAGACAATGATGAATATGTATGTCTTAAAATCTAAATTTGAATTAATGTGAATGCATTAACAACGCTCAAAATTAATAATGTCTTATTTATTTCTATATTTAATTATTAAGGTAAAAGTTAATAAATTTTTAGTGGGAAAGGTACAAGTATCCTAGTTTTTTTCGATAATAAATATTTTGGTGAAAGTAGTTATGCATTTAGTGACATTAAAACACCGCAATGACTATGATAGCATATAACATTGGTAGAACGAATTGACAAGTCACGTCCCCGATAGTACATTCTGGGACATTTTAGTCTTAGTGAGTGTAGACATGATTTCGGTGACTTGTTTTACACCCCGTAATGACAAAAAAAGAATAGTAAATGCCAAATGAGCAAACAAGTAAAAGGGATTGGAACCAGAGCATGCAACCATGGATAACACGTCTTGGATAAGCATAATTGGAACATTCGACATGCAGTTGAGCCACAAGCAACTTGCCTTGGACAAGCATGACTGTGACACCCTACACCATGTCTCATGAGTAGGATGCCATAATGGGCCTCATGTTTCTCTCTTCTAGATGTGATCCTTGCGTCATGTATTACTAGAAAGATGTCATGATCAAGTTTACATGAACCATGAGACCATGTCGGTCTTACATGGGGAGTAATCTAAAAGCCACTTTAGGGAATGTTTAAAATAAGTTGACCACGTGATATGAGCAAAGTTAAGTTTGTGTACGTCCGTAGACACTCAAGAATTTATAGTACCCTAGCTTAAGGATACGATTAAGAGTCTAAAAGTAGGCTACTTACTAAGTCTTTGTACTCACTCTGTGTTTTTTAGGAGCTGGTCGTGGATAGGGAAAGACTTTGGAGCGAGAGTCATAAATCAGCTACGAATTCTCAAACTTTATTCTATTTTGAAATATTCTTGAGCATGTTTCTTATGTCCCGATTAAAACTATGTTTTGTATGCACACTAATATAGTGTAAATATATCTATGAAATTATGTTTTAAATACCTTATTTTTATTTCGTGGTAAATTTTACCGTGTTTTCACAAGTCACAAATCGTACTCTAGAAGCCTAAAAAATCGAAAGAATGTTGTAAAGTTGTGTTAATTAAAGATTTTTATTACAACAATTTTTTTTTTTTTGAGAATAATACATTGCAAGCTGCCAATTCAATGAGTTTTTACTTATTAGGACTGGAACAACATGTCACAACCCAATTTTTTTGACTCAATCGTAACTAAGTAAAACATACTAAAAAAAATATAAAAGATTAATAAAAGGATGGTAAAATCTTCCTTATTTAACACGAAATATAAATACAATTTATTTACAAATCTAAAATGAAAGTTTGAATACATTTGACCTAGTAAATAATACTAACTTAAAACATTAAAATAGTTAAAACATGGAGTGGCATTATATGACACCTGCTCTAGATCTGCTTCCATCTTCGATCCGCTTCTTTCTATCACTTAAAAAACATGAGGAAACTTGAATGAGTACAAAGACTCATAAGTAGCCTATTTGTAGGCTTTTAATCGTATCGATAAGGTATGTTAGGATACCACACTCTTTTTTGGTCATATTCTTGTCCTTGACTTGAGAACTTAGGCCCTTAGATTATGTTCTTGTGTTCTGAGTTCATGTCATAATCTAGGATAAGGATGGTGGTCCTGGATTCCAAAATCTTAACCTTAATTCTACTCTAAGGATCTTAACTCCGAGATTCTTGGTTCTTAGTTGAGATTGTGTTTCAAGGTAGGAGAATAACTTTTCTTATTAGTTTGCGTGATCCAGACCTTATCTCGCCTAAATTTCATCGTGAAATCTATTCATTTTAGTCCTCTCAAGCCAAAGAATCTTTTTTGAATGACAACTTTGTGTAGATGCTCCTAATTTTGTGTTTGAAGCTCTTGGTTCTTTACCCAGTTTCGATCTGATTATGAAGTTTATAGGGTTGAACGATACATGCCTTTCTAGCTTCTAATTTCTTCACGAAAGGTTTTCTTTTTATCGCCACAAAACTGTTGGTATCTATAAATGTGTTTAATGGACCGTAGGTGAAGAATTTGGAGTTTTTCTATAATTCATCCATTTTAAACTCATTTTTGATGTCCTTTCATTACCCTCGATCCTGATCTGACTTCTTTTATTTTTATGGTCATCATGGAATTCATTCTTGGCTCCTAGAAAGTGAATGAAACTTCTTTGAGGGATGAACTTTCTTGTAGCTTGTAAGTAGAATTTCAAAAATTCCTTCCTTAAATTGGGGAAACATGTTCATGATACTTTCTGCTCATGAAACTTACAATTAGCCATTTGCCGACTTTATCTTTGAATTCTTACTATTGAATCTATAGCCCATGGTATATAATGATTTTTGGTGACGTAGATAGTTAAATTTTCCTAAACTTTGAATTTTATCTGATTGGTCCATTCTTGAAATTTTCGGATAAAAAACTTAAACTTTAGGGGTATTTTGATAATTTTCCACTTTTTCAATATTTTATTTCAAAAGATGCAAAATTTTCTTAAAATTCCTTACTCCTTGTTCTTGAACATCTTTATATTCCTTTTCCATATTGAGTTAAAATTCCAAAAAATGACTTTTTTCCTTCGATCACTCACCTAACTCGAATTCGGAATTTTCCTAAAAAAAAATGACTCAACTAATTCGAGTTTGGATTTTCTAAAAAAAAACCATAAAATAACTCAAAAGTGTGAACCATATCAATTTAGTTTGAATTTAAAAAGGAGACAATGACGAATATGTGTTTAGTAGAAATTTCAAATCTGAGAGGTTAATCTAAATTTGATAATGTCTTATTTAGAAAGCTATATTTAATTATTAATGTAAAAGTTAATAAATTCAGTACACATACGTGTCCCAATTTTTATTTTCGATAATAAATTCTTAAGGTAAAAGTTTGAAATATTAATAAATATTTTGGTGAAAGTAGTTATGCATTTAGTGACATTAAACAAAGTGTACAAAGCCTTAGTGAAGTGAAAGATGAAATACACCAACTATACTTTTAATTGTGCTTTTCTCGTAATATAGCTTTCTTTCACCGGATTACATATCTAATGGAGCGGAAAATGTGGGAGGGGTAAAGAAAAAAATTCGTATGAACCTTTAAACTGTTGGAATGATATCCATTAGAGCATGCTTCGATTATCTTAGTTTGCCTCATTTTACTAAAATTAATCTCGGGATATGTCTTAGTTACGTTTTTATCTTCTTTTTTTCGTTTATGTATCCGTTCTTGTTAATTCTACACGGTTACTTTTCCTCGTACCTTTTGAGAAGAAAAGATAAAACATTATTCTATGTTTTAAAAACATAAAATGAGGTATTGCTTTGTTTAGTGTCTTCTGATGACATACTGAATACATTATTGATTTGATAGTTTTTGTCCCAAAGTCTAATTCTAGCGGTCAGGTTTAGGTATTAATTTTATCTTCCCAACTACCTCATTTAATGTCGACTTTGAATCATATTACTGTATAGTTCTCGGCTTTGATTTATTGGTTTAAGTTCTAAAATTTATCTATAAATAGCCATTCTCGTTTTAATTTTAAAGCACACTCATCCGTAGTGAAAACTTGCTAATAAAAATCAAGAAAAAGGAGAAAATGGTGCTCCCGAGGTACGTGGCTTTCAAATCCAAGGCAGATGACTTGTATTTGAAGTACGTAAAAGAAGATGTTCAAATTCATGGATACATCAAGTACGATGCACACAATGTGGTGACCCCTCACACAAAATATGAAGTGGAGCCTGCTAAAGTTGGCAAAGGCTTTGTGAATATCAGGTGTTGTTACAACAACAAATATTGGGTTTGTCCTTCAATCAACACTCAATATGTGGTTGCAGTAGCTGATGAACCAAATGAAGATCAATCCAATTGGGCGTGTACGTTGTTTGAACCCATCTTTGATCCGGATCATCAAGCCTATCGGATTAAGCATGTCTACTTTGGCTACAATACATGTAGTTGGAGGGACGGCCTAGCTCGGGACAGGTGCTTGTATATGGGGTATTCAACTCCAGACGCCAACCTCTGCGATCTTCATGTTGCTATTGACTGGGAATCATTCTATGTTTTACCCAAATATGTTGCATTTAAAGGTGACAATGGAAATTACCTTCAAGCATGCTGGTTTCAAGGGCTTCCATATCTCCAATTTTCTGCTGATGATATTGGAGATCCAAAAGTGGGAAATGAAGTTTCAACAACAAATGATGGAAATGTTCGCATTAAGTCAAACCACTTTGGAAAATTATGGAGACGGAGTCCAAATTGGATTTGGGTAGATTCAAATGACACCACTGGAAATAACAAAGATACATTATTTTGGCCGGTAAAAGTTGATAACAAGTTTGTGGCGCTTCGTAATTTGGGTAACAATTATTTTTGTAAGAGGCTCACAACGGAGGGTAAGACAAATTGTCTTAATGCTGGTGTCCCCACCATCACTAAGGAAGCACGCTTGGAGATACAAGAGTTGGTTCTTTCCAGAAGCATCTATAATGTCATATTTCATCTTTTGGATGCACGGATTTATGGACAACATGTCATCACCATGGCCAATGGAGATGCTAGTAATAGTTCCAATAAAGAAAACACTATAGATATGAAGCTCCATTACACGATTTCTGAGAGTAATAAATGGTGTTCCACTGTTTCTGCTAAAGTCGGTGTACAGACATCAATTCAAACGGGTATTCCACTGATTGCAGAGGGAAAAATTGAAATGTCTGCTGAGTTTTCTGGCGAATATACATGGGGAGAAACTAAATCAAAATCATCTGAGATAGAGACCGTTTACACTGTAACTGTGCCACCCATGTCTAGGGTGAGAGTGAGTCTACTCGCAACAAAAGGTCAATGCGATGTCCCATATTCGTATGCTCAACGTGACACTCTTATGAATGGGGACCAAGTGACTAATTATTACGATGATGGAATATATACTGCCGTCAATTGCTACAACTTCAAATATGAGACTAAGCAAGAGCCGCTGTAAGGTGTTTGCTTCGCACTATTATAAGTATTTGGGTCGACACCAATTAGTCTCTCTTAGTTATAATCTAGGAGGGTTGGCTTGAAATAAGGTTATCAACCATTAAAATAAGATTGGTGGAACCCAAATATGAACTTTTATGGTTTATATGTTCTCTATCATCATGGTGACTATAAATTATTGTCTTTTTCATTACTGTATAAGAAATTTCCTCGTCTATAAATATTAAAAATTTAAATATTTCATAAATAATCTTTTAAAAAATCAAATAAAATGTTTGGATATAAAAAATAGACTCATAAGAGTTTTAAAAAACAAAACAAAATTTTAGATCTATAAAAGTAGTGTTTAAAAGTTAAAAAATATTTTCATTGTTTTAAAAGGGCATTAATACATTTAAATTTTTAGAAAAAAATTCAATTTTAATTTTAATTTTTTAATTTTTAATTTTTATTATGTTTTATGTATGAACAAAAATTATAAAAGATGTGTCCATGACATATGGGACAAAATTGATGGACAATAACTTGTCTATGGACTCTAATTTTCAAAAGAGTGGTTNTTAAAATATAATTTTCCATATATTTATATTATATCAAAGTTCATGCATAAGTAGTTAAAACATAACATAATAGTTAAAATACAAAATAAGGAATGTACACAAAATATTTAGAACAAAAGGGTGTGAAGGATGACGGATGAGGCTTGTCAATGACACCTACTCAAGAGTCTGTTCCCGACCCCAACCATCTCCTTATTTACCTGAAAAGGATGGAAAACATGGAGTGAGTACAAAGACTTAGTAAGTAATTTATTTGTAGGCTTTTAATCGTGTCCTTGATATGCTAGGGTGTTCTAGTTTTTGTTGCAAGTACGTAGGCCTTTTAGTTATGTTCTTGACTTTTAGTTCTTATCGGGATCTATCCTGAGGACTTTGGTCCTTGGATTCGGAGGTCTGAGATCTAAGGGCCTTCGTACTATGGTTTTGGGTTCTTTTCTTTCAAACTTGGATCTTGATGTCTTATTCCTCGATCATTATCTATTCTTAGTTACTTTTTAGGTTCTTGTTATGTTCTTGGTTTGTCCTCCAAGACACTCCCTTTAGGATTTACATTACTAGTCATGAACCTGACAATATGTATTCAAGGCTTCATATGTTCCAAGCGATACATTCTGAGCCAACGTTCAAGGCTTCATGCGTTCCAAGCGACGTAGTTTGAACCCGCATCTAGGGCTTGCCCTGCGATACGGTTAGAAAACCTATACCTAAGACTTCATGTGTAACAAGCGACATAGTATGAATACCTATGCTTAAGGCTTCTTACACTCCAGGAAACGTAGTCTAAAAACCTACATCCAAGGCTTCTTACGCTCCAAGCAATGTAGCCTGATCTTGCATCTAGGACTTGTCCTGTGATATAGTTTGAATACCTATGCCCAAGACTTCATACATTCCAAGCGGCATAATCTGAATACCTGTGCTCAAGGTTCATACGTTCCAAGTAGCGTAGTCTAAATCATGAACATTCTGTACCGTGGGAGATATTAGGAGTTTCTTGAGTTTCTAAATTTAAAGACCTTGGTCCCTTATTCTTGAGTGGTACCAACTATTCTCCTTACCTTGATAGTTGTAGAGCTTGTGTAGTATTTTCCTTGGTTCTCAATCTTCCCCATTATATTATTTTCTAAGGTTCATTATTTTTTAGGCAAAAATCCTATCATGCATTCTTAAGCTCTATATAACTTAGTAACATACGTGAGTCATTCAGAATGTTATAGAGTCATAAAGAGTTCTTTGGATAATTTTGACGTAAGAACTTAGACCCTTAAGTTATGTTCTTGAGTTTTGAGTTTATATCTTGATGTAGGCTAAGGAACTTGGACCTAGGTTTCAAATTCTTAACCTTGGTTCTAATCAAAGGACCTTAGCTTTAAGATTCTTGGTTCTTAGTTGACCTTAGTTCTAAGATTTTGTTTCAAGGAGGGAGTAATGACTTATTTCAAACCTTTTGGTCGACTGTAGTTCGAATAAAAGTCTTGAATGTTCGCTGAAAGACATAACCCACGCTGGAAAATAACCCAAACTTTTCTTATTGGTTCGTGGGATTCATACCTTATCTCACCTTAATTCCGTTATGAAATCTCTTAAGATTTCTCCCTCTCAAGCTAAAGAATCTATTTTGGAAGGACTACTTTGGATGAATCCTCCCAATTTTTAGTTTCAACTTCATTCTTAACCCATTTTCTATATGATTATGAAGTTTATAGGGCGGAACGATACATGCCTCTTTAGATTCTAATTTCTTCATTACAGTTTTTCCTCTCATTTTTACGTAGCTATTGATATCTTTAAATATGAGTTTAATGGACGGTGGGAGAAGAATTTAAGAGTTTTTCCAAAATTCAACAATTTAAAACTCGTTATTGATGTCCTTCAATTATTCTCGAATTTAACTTCTTTTGTCTTTGTTGTCATCATGGAAATTCACTCTTGGCGTCCTAGAAAGTGAAGGAAACTTCTTTGAAGGGACGAACTTTGTTGTAGCCTCTTATTAGAATTTCAAAAATTCCTTCCTTCATCAACCATGAAACTTAAATTGGAGAAACAAGTTTATGCGATTTCCTGCTCTTGAATCCGCCATGAAACTTATGAAGGAACTTATTTAGAAGTTTTATGAACTGATTTGAGTCTAATTGATGGAGACCACCTTCTTCGTATAGAAGCTAAATTCCCTTGATTCAACCCATAGTCCCTTGATTCAACCCATAGCTTTTATTCTTGATCCTCACCTTTCTTTATTTATAGCTCAAGCATTATTATTTGAATAAAAATATCTAAACTTGAGCTAATTTTGAGTTCAAGTATCTGGACAATTTGTCCCAAAAATTCAGAAAATGACTTTTTTTACCTTTAGGCTTATTATTTCCTTTCCAAACCTTTTTGAAAGGTCTTCAAGATCCTTAAAATTTCTTTTAAAAAATTGAAATGGCTTACTTGAGTACCTTAACTCGCACATAAACACAAAGGATCGATCTCTTTAGTAGTTTGATCTACGATGTTTTAGCTCTTGACTTCTTTATCAAAGTTGTTCATTTCAATTCTCTAGAGCTACAAGAATGTTTAATTTTAAGAAAAGTGGACCGTAGATAGGAATTTGATACATACCCGAAAATTAAGCTTGAAACTGATTTTCTCCAATTGAGCACGTTCTTGGGATTAATTCTCTATGTGATCTTTCTATGTAAATACTCCTTGAAGGTGCAAAAACTGGATGAATTTGCCTTGCTTGAGAAATTTGCGCGTAGACTTGGATTCGATTTTCAAGCTTACTTTGAACTTCTTCAATGGTGGCAACGATTGAGGAAGTGAGTTTTAGGATCTTTGAACATTTGATTCCTTCATAAAACTCGTGGTAATCTTGTGTAAAAGCTGTAGGAACAAGTTTGAAGGGAAATAGTGGACAATTGCTCAAGATTTGGATGAAATCCGAGAGTAGGAAACCAAGAAATAAAAGGTTATAACTCAAGAGTGAGAGCTTGAACTTGCTTGATTCTTGTTCCTATGAATGCCCTAACTTCATACTTTATACTAGAAGCTTAAATCGATGTTGAAACTTCCAGAATTGTTGTGATTTGGAGATTGAGTTTTCTAGATTTCTCATCGAAAATATCATCTCCGATCAGTGAGCAACCGACCTTCAATTTGAAATCTTGCCATTGGATGTGATGAGTCGTGCCTTCTCTAGAACATACTCAAATTTTGTGAAGATCCAACAATTGGATTTGAAGATATGAGAGATTTGAAGATCACTTCTCACTAACGCGTATCTAATTTTCTGATCCGTGACATTTTCGTTATTATCTTGAAGTTCAAGGATATTTTGGTTATTTGCCATTTTCGGAATATTTTGTTATTTTTTTCTGAAAAATATAAACTTTTTCGAAAAATTCTTCACCCTTTGTTAGTAATTTTTTTTCCTGTTGAAATGCTTTCTCCATAAAGAATTAAAATGGGAAAGTTGCTAAAAAAAATTGGAAAAATTAACCTTTCCTCTTTTATGCTTGTTTTTTCCTTTCTACTACATAAGACGACCTTAAATACCCTTAAATACGTAAGATTATTTATTAGGGTATTGAAATGACTTATTTAGAACTTTTGTTCCCGCTGGAATGTCTTGATTTTTTTAGTTCGGGTAAAAATATATATAGAAATATATAGGATAGATATTGGTATACCCTATTAGTAGGTGGTTTCAAAATGTACTTTTCTTCCTATTCTATATACCTACAAGGCATCCATAAATCCTTTAGCTAATATTCCTCCATATTTTCTTTTGCTCTTGTTCTTCTTTATTTTCTCTTTCTCTTATTCTTTGTGTTTATCTTAATACAGTACGTGCATTGTTGTGCGATCCTAACACCTTTGAGTTACTTTTAACTTTACTTTGAGTGTTACAGTACACCTTACCTATATTTATTGTAATTAATTTAATTACATCTACCTACATCGCCATGACTCAAAAGTGTAAATCCACGCCAATTTAGTTTGAATTTAATTATTAGAAGGTTCACATGTGAAAGGATAATCTAAATATGAATCAATGTGAATGCATTAGTAAGTCTTAACAATGGAGTGAGACGTTAAAACACTATAGTGTACCATTGCATTATTAACTCTCCAAATGAATTAATCTCATGATATGTTACATTTTTTCTTCTTTCTTTCCTCTTATGGTATCCATCAGAGTGGTTCTCATCTATTTTAGAATAAAAGATCTCTTAGAAAGAATATAAACATGAGAAAAACTTTATTCCATCTCTAAAAAGACTCCAAAGGAGGTTATATTGATTTGTTTAGTATCACAGTAAATTCAATCATGATGACATACTAAATAAATTAAACTTAGTATTGATTCGATAGTTTTTATTCTAAAGGCTAATTCGAGTTGACATCTCTAGGTATTAATTTTATCTTCCAAACTACCTCATTTAATGTCCCCCTT